CATCCAGCCCTGCACCTTGTTGTCTTGTAATCTCCTGGAGTTATCTCAGGCTATGAAAATGAGAAGAGATAAAATAGCAGGCTTGGTACGAGACATGTTTTATGTCTTCCTTGTCAAGAATGTGCAAGAAGAGGGGTTAAAAGCCAGTTTAACCCCAGTCTGTGTGTGCTGGTGATAGGTGCTAGTGAGGTGAGGTGCTCATGTGTGCAAGTGGCCTGAGGTGCCCATGTATATAGCCTGGGTTCAAACACTAGTGTGTTGTGAAGGTCACAGTTGGAGGAATACCCATTATTCACCACTGCATTACAGGTAAAAGATTCTTTCACTGTAAATGCTATAAACCAGTAAGTCCGTCAAAAGGAAAGATGATAAAAGAATTTCCATCAACCTGAAAAGTCAGAACTCTCAAATATTGACTGCCCAATACCAGCGCTCCACTATTTAATCCTTATGAATAACCCAGAAGCTGAACCATATATATTTTAACTTTTAGACTTGCTTCTCACTGACCCCGCGGCCAAGGATATATTTCCCTCCCCACCCCTATCTGCCTTTTGTAGGGACCTCTCACTCCATGACTCCCTCGTCCGCTCCACACTCCCCACTAGCCCCACTAGCCCCACCACCCCCGGCACCCTTTCCTGCAACTGCAGGAAGAGCTACACCTGCCCCTACACCTCCCCCCCTCACCCAATCCAGGGCCCCAAAAAAACCTTTCATATGCGACAGGGGTTCATGTGTACATCCTCCAACTTGGTCTACTGTACCATTGCACCATGCATAGATTCGGGGATCGTTTCGTGAAGCATCTGCGCTCTGTACACAACAAACAATGACACCTTCCAGTTGCCAACCATTTTAACTCCCCCTCCCACTCCCTGGGTGACATGTCCATTCTGGGCCTCCTCCAGTGTCGCAATGACACCATCCGCAAACTGGAGGAGCAGCACCTCATATTCCACCTCGGGAGCCTACAGCCCGATGGCCTTAACATAGATTTCACCAGTTTTAAAATCTCCCCAGCCCCCAGCCTCATCCCATGTACAATCCTCCTCTCATCCCCGCCTCCTTGACCTGACACAACCTGTCCATCCCTCCTACTTCACTGACCAAACCCCACCACTTCCTACCTGCATTCACATTCCTTCACCAGCCCCACCCCTCCTCTCTATTTATTTTCCAGCTCTTTTCCCCCTCTCCATTTCTGATGAAGGGTCCCGACCTGAAACATCAACATTCCTGCTCCTGTGATGCTGCCTGACCTGCTGTGTTCCTCCAGCTCCAACTGTGTCGTCTCTTTCTCATTTATAATGCTTTGTATGTGTGCTGTGTTATTATGACTTCTTATGTTTAGCAACTATTTAACTTATTCTTTTGTTATCTCAAGAAAAATTGGCTCCCTTCTGAATTCATTTGAATCTGGAGAAAGGAATCCAAAAGGGAGGGGATTCTTCATAAATCAACCTGCAAAGCAACCAAAGGAGAGCCAATTTATCCCTTCGAACCCATGACAATTTTGTTAATCCCACCTGGAACCATAATAATTTGCAGAACCTCATCTGGGGTTGAGCCATAAAATGTCAGATTGTCTTCTAGTGCTGTACAGCTGTGATTGAAATCTTCAACATTTAGTCTTCCATGAAAATGTTGTTGGACCTAGAATTCACATATTCAGTGTAACTAAAATGTTCCATTTATATGTGCAGTTTTACCAGCTTGTTTCATCTAATTATGAGGGCAATTATTTAAAAAATGTAAACTGCCAGCTGCAATGACTACTAGAATGGGTATTATTAAATAATCGTGGCACTGCCTATGGTTTTGTATTCTAATGTAGACTGGGATTCCCAACATGTACTCCAGTTGGTGATGTGTCTAACCTGAAAATTAATACTTACTATTTTGTGAGAGTTCCCAATGATATCCTCCAGGTAAGCGCACAGTTGGGAAGCAGAGAATCTGTACTAAACATAGTTCAAGTTATTTGCTCAAGAATAATGATATGAACCTTTCTAAAAAAAATTAACATATTGATAACTCAGGAAATCAAATGTTAATTGAGAACAATAAACCTTCAACATATATTAAACTTGGAAACATGAGCTCTCCAGACTTCTCTTTACAGATTGTGATAGTCTGCTTTTGATGCACTGATGATTTTCAGTAACAATAGTTTTTAAAGGAGTCCATGTCTCTAACTTTGATTTTCTGCATGTTAAGTATAAATTCATAATAGCTAGTGCTATATCATGTCACTGTACCAATTACCTTAAGTATAATCTTCAAGAACAAGCGTATGTGAGAGGATTATATTTACAAAGTTTGTTTGTAAGGAAGTTGAACACTCTATACACATTAAGTTGACAGGTGGTCATGCTGAGGAATTGAACATTTCCTATTGTAAAGTATCCAGTGTCAGCATTAATTTCTGTAAGGGCAAAACTCCAACTTTGCCATGCTCAAATGGTAAAAAAAAACTACAGTTGACTACCAGATAAATAAAATGGCTGTTTCCCAATATGTATCTTTTGTTGCAGGACTTCACGAGAGCAGAATTTTCACAGCAATTGCCGATGTGTATTGAATGGTTGCCTGTTAGTCATAGTGACCAATAGCCATGTCGGGCTGAGTCTTACATTTTTTTGGCCATGCACAAGAAATGTCAAGATTTTTAGAGGGTTTTTCAATGTGAGACCTAGCCAGTTCTCTTGTCATATCTTACCAAACCTACTGCATTGATTGCCAACGTCACTCCTTTGCATCTCGGGTCTGAGTCCAGCCCCAACTTACCATGTGCCATTCCCAGAACAACGTACTATGTAGTGATATCATCCCTTGCATCTCTGTCACCTTAAAAAGCTTGCGGTGTGTCCAGTCAAGCACTGTTAGTCTGAAGCTGACCTGCACAGTTCCTAACATTTGCACTGCTGTGTAAACAGGGAGCAGCTTTCTCTCTAAGATGCATGTTGTGCCACTCCAATATTTCATGCATGGCATTCATTGCATTTGCATCTACAACCGCACTGACTTGCGGTTCTAGAAGTCACTGCTGTGCACGGACCTTGGAGATCTGTTTGGAAGAAAAAGCATTAGAGGGAACACTGGCAGGGACCTGAAGGCCCTGGTGGAAGGAGTGCAACTGATTGGATGACATCCTCATTCCCTAGGAGCAGGAGAGGAGGCCATGACACCAGACCACGTCAGCCTGATCCAAGGTAACCACCCAAGTTAAAGCAGTCTCAGCTATCTACAGGAGTGCCCAGGACCCTCTCCCTGCAGTGAATGCCCTTCTCTATTCCATCCGGTTAAGTGCCACCATTTTCTCTCAACTACCTAACACTTTCTCTGTCTCTGATACTGCACCCACCTCCCACCAAGGCTCACGCTCACGCACTATCACTATTGCCCTCAAACCTCTTCACTCACTTGCTGTCATCAGTACTAATCCTGTATTCCCTCTGTGCTGTCTACCCACATCCTCAGGACATCTCCAGCAAGAATAACAGCTGTGTCGCCCACTTTCATCTCCTGTCACTCCTCCCTGTCTGTCATTCAAGGAAGGAAAACTGACCCAAAAAGGGCAGAAGTTCGACAACGTTCGGCTCCTCAGCCCTTATGCAGAGAGCAACCTGACCTTGACTGCCCGAGCAGCTGTCCAACAATTTCCAAGCCTGCTGACTGGTAATGGAGGCTGCCCTTGACTTGATGTACCTGGACTTTCTGAGTGAAGTTATCTCCCTCGACTTGATTGAAACCCACAGACAACAATGGTGAACTTCCTTCCTTTATGCCTGAGCTAAATGGAAAGGCAAGACAGATGTAATGTGAGGCTGATGTCTCTTGCTGAGTGGGCAAAATGCAAAAAGGCACTGTAAAGTAGGGATGCTGCCAGTATCCAGGTCAGCTCAGAATGAATGAGTGCTTTGACAGTAAGCAGAGCGCTTGGAGATGCAGCCTGGTCCTGTCCCTGTCCCTGTCCCTGAGCACAATGTCCTTGTTGTAGCACTACACTGATATTTGCCAAAGCATCATTGATGCAGCTGTATCAGAGATATGCCATGAGGGTATTAGAGGTTGATGCATATTGGATGCTGCTGACCATGGATGGGGGCTGTGCGTGGCCGGTGCCCATGGAGCGTGGCCTGAGATGTTGGTTTCCAATGTCCAGCATGGAGGTCATTTGGAGCAAGTGGTAAGCTGAAGGTGCCAGGCACCCGCTCTGGTTTCTATGCCGAATTCTCTTAAAAGCTTGGTTTGGTAAATTAGCAAGCTGAATATTAATAAGGCAGATCAGACAGTCAACAAGGTGTTTAACAAGCAGTAATCCTCTTTAGTTGGCAAATCATCACTTCCTGGGGAGAAACTCATCTCACTGCTTGTGAAAAGCATAAATGATGGTGTGATATGCTCCTGACGTCGAGATGAGCTGCAGCAGACTCCTCATCCGATTCTGCTACACATCGTGACATATCGCACATTGCTTAGACCTCAGATAACGATTGCACTCTATAGATCTTCACAAAGGAGGTGACCCGAGTTTCTGTGTATTAATCCCACTGATTATGATTAATGCTGTGATTTTCTTTTTGTCTTTGCACTAATTCCAGCATGCCCTGTTAAAATAAGACATATATTTATAAAATGCCTTGCAAGATCACAGGATAGCTGAAAGTGATTTATAGACCATGAAGTATCTTTGAACTGTAGACACTGCTGTAACATAGCAGTGAAAGCCAATTTATGCAAACCAGTGTCCAAAATTTATGTGATAATGACTTATTTTATGATGTTGTTTGAAGAATAAATATTGGCAAGGACACCAAATGTAATTTGCCTTCTGTTTTTTGAAGAGAGTTAAAAAAATCTAAGCACTCCATTTATCAACTTAAATTTTTATTCTCAAAAACCCAAATGGGGCTTGAATCCACAAACTTCTCTCTCAAAGTAAGAATGTTGCCAACCAAACTATTGCTGACTGGTAAAGTAGATATGGATGTAAGTATGTATGTCAGTGTCCATATGTGGGGGCTTCCCTCATGAAAGTGCTGTTAGAACAAATTGCTGGGTAGATCAATGAATTTGCACTTCTCATTAACTTCAGGTTTTGATTTTTAACAAGTATAAAATTAAGGATGTTGCCCTATCAGTTAATTTGTTTAATCGTGCCTCGTCCAAAGCTTTACGCCATTTACTAAGTTTTGGGATCTAAAGTCATAGCTAAAAGCACAGAAAGAGGCTATTCAGCCCTTTCTACCTGTGCTGGCTCACTAAAGGGCAACTCAACCAATTCCATTCCTCTTTCTTTTCCCTGCCACTCTGTAATTTCTTTTTCCTTCAGATAATTAACCAATTCGCTTCTAAAAACCTACAGTTGGAATATGCTTTTCACCACACTGTAAAGCAGTTTTCAAATATTCTTTCATGAGGTATGAATGTCATAGATAAGGCCAGGACTTATCCATCCTTATTTGGCGTGGAGAAACTGGTGATGAGTTGTCTTGAACTGCTATAGTCCATCTCGTGTAGGTACTCACTTAGTGCTTCCACTAAGGGAAATTCTACAACTCTGGGTCAATGAAGGAACAGTGATATAGTTCCAAATAAGTATGGTGAGTCACTTGGCCGAGAACTTAACAGGTCGTGCTGTTCCCATTAGTCTGATGCCCTTGACCATCCAGGTGGTAGAACTCTCAAGTTTGGAAGGAGCTGTTGAATGAGCTTGATAAGTTGCTGCAGTTAAATTCGTTGATGATACACATTGCTGTTAGTGTGTGCTAAGAATGGAGAGAGTGAGTATTTATTGGTGAGTAGAATGGCAATCTAACAGGCTGCTTTGTCCTGGAGTTTCTTGACTGTTGTTGGAGCTAGGCAAGTGAAGAGTATTCCATATTACTTCTGACTTGTGCCTTGTAGATTGTGGTCAGTCTTTGGGGAGTTAGGATGTGAATTACTCTTTGCTGGATTCTCAGCCTCTGCCTTGCTCTTGATGTCACAGTATTTAGATGGCTCGTCCAGTTCAGTTTCTGGTTAATGCTAACACTGATGCTGGAGGATTTGGCAATGGTAACATTGTTGAATATTGAGGAGAGATGTTTAGATTCTCTTTTGTTGGTGACATTCATTGTCTGGCACCGTGAGGCACAAATGTTACTTGCCACTTCTCACCCCAAGCTGGAATGTCACCCAGGTCTTGCTGAATGTGGACAGAGACTACATTGGTATCTGAGGAATCCAAACGCAGTCAAATATTTGTGTGAACTGTCCACTTCTGACCACATGCATGGGGAAGGTCTTGATGAAACAACTGAAGACCGTTAAGTCAGGACACTACCCTGCTGCAGTAATGTCCTGGGGATAAGATGAATAACTTTATGCTATATATGACTCAGACAATAGCGCGTTCCCCTCCCCAACCTTATCCCATTCCCATTGACTTCAATTCTTCTCTGGAGCTTGACTCGCCAAGTCCAGGCAATTGGTACTTTTATGTCAAGGGTAGTCACTCTCATCCCACCTCTTGAATTCACTGATTTTGTCCATATTTGAGCTAAAGCTTCAAAAGTTCTGGTGTTAAATGCTGGTGGAATTCGAACTGAGCATTAGTGAGCAGGAGTCAGTGCCCTTTGATAATGGCGTTAATGACACTTTCCATGACTTTGTGATAAGAACAGACTGATGGAGTGGTAATTGGACAGATTGGAGTTAGTTTTGCTGCAAGTGGGCAGATGCATTCCAGAAGCTAACATTCGCTTTATAAAACCATTCTTCTTCATGTCTCCTTTGCTATTCACCTTAAATTAGTGTTCTGTGGTCCAGCTTCAAAGTTTTATCCTATGTCTGGATATTTCAGGCTAAGTCAGTTCTAAAAGCAACCTTGCACAGCTCAGTTATAAAGCTGCCAACCTTATAGAGGTCTTGGTTCAGCATCACA